ATCATGGTGTAGGTGATATTTCTAATTTAAGAATTATCTGTCTGATGTTCAGATCTCTAGAAAGAAACTGAAACCTAAAAACCGGTTTGTATCTTATCCTGATGAAACTTGATATGTATGAATATATTGATCTGTCAAGTATGAAATTAACAGTAATGTATTGTTGTATATGCCAAAATCAGAGTTTTTATAATCCAAATATGAAGCTGGCCATTGAGAGAAGAGCACCCATTGACAATTATGTTACCCCTACTTGGACACCTCTCTCCCCACAGAATAAATACAATAATGATCCTAAATTCATACTATGAAATGAAATAAAAGCATTGTCACTTTTGTATCAGGGAGCTTTCTATAATAATTCTTTGCAGGTTTATCTTTCAAAAACATCTTTAATGTGTACAGATACACATGGATATAATATTGGTCTTCTTTACTAGTTCACTATGAGAATTCTATCTATTTTATACTCAGTTGAAGTATCATCATGTATTTGAATGCCTCCAAGGACTACTAATTTCTGTTCTTCAGAACAATGTGATACAACATGTTTCTTTATTGTTTAAAACATAAAACGAATTGCTGGTGCGTTTGTCCCTAGTGTGCAGCACTTGAATCAAAACATGTTTATTGTTGTGGTTTTAATGTAAAAATTTAATAAAATAAATGAAGAACTCCTCTGTGTCCTTTCCAAAAGCAAAAGAAATCCTTATTCTGCAAAATATATATTTCACCCTCCTCTTCTTCTGGTGAAATTTTAATTTCATTGAAGTCCATGCAGATTTCTTTAAAATGTCTGAAACTGTCTGGCCTCCATTTTTCAAAAAAAAAAAAACCCAAAAAAATCTTGTTAGCTGAAAATATTCATGGTTAGGTTTAGATTGACAAAGATTTTATTATGATATTTCTCCCAGAAATCTACATTTCATAGACCATATCAATGACGGAACAGATGGACTTGCATTTTTCTTCCTATTCACTTTTGTTGACTTGGCAGCTAAGATGATATATTTCAAGTTCATACAACCCTCCTATGTGAATTGATTTTCATGTCATTTTCTAGATGCATGCCATGCAATCTTGAAATAAGTGTAATATCAAAGTCTAAAGAGATCAGTAAGATACACGTAACATTTCAATTCTTTGTTATCACACATCCATAATGATGTAATTGTAGTCAAGATGTAACAGATTTTGGCAGACGTATCTAAAACAATAGGTCATGATAGGTCTGGTGAGGATACAAGATAGGATAGATCTGTCACTGTATTTGATATCCTTCCTTATTATCATCCGTCTGCTACTAATTTACTACTTTATGACTTTTATTATTTCAAAAAATATCTTTACTTCTGGTCAGACACTGAAGAATTTTCAGGGTAAATATTTCAGATATAAGTCTATTTGGTCTACTATGATCTGTATTTCCTGAAAGGATTTCCTCTACTGTCCACATACTTCAACAGATATTAATATGATACTTTAGAAAAATATCAGTGAAACCAAACATAGTGATTGTATGTTAACAAATTTGGGTGTATATTATAAGTATAGTAACATTATTACCTATGTGAGCTCTCCAAAAGGGCTTCTGAGTTGACAAGCCAGTCATCACCCTGTGAGTGTTTCATATAGATAGATGTTTCAGGAAAAGATACCTTTTAAATTAGTCACACACAAAAATTGCTGAAGGTGGATATTTTACAAAAAATTGTCTATAACACATTGTTTTACTGTAATCTTTTTTTGAAAAAGACATTTGTAAATAATTGATAGAGTTATGCAGGGCAGGGTGTCATCATTGTATAGACATAAAACCCCCTCCATTGAGACCATCAAATGTGAAATCAGTTCAACTTATTCAGGTAGTTGAAGTAGGTAAACAGAGTTCAGGATTACTTATAATGTTTAAATACTGTAATATCCACTGGCAAGTTTACATGGGACATAACTCTTAATATCATAGTTTTCTATATCTTTTCACTTAGTATTAGAAAATTGTTGACTAGGTATATGAAGGCTTTTAAACTTTATAATAAATATCTATTCAAGTTAAGCAAAAGAGACATTATTATGCAGCACATGTAATATATTTTACTTACATGAGGTTTCTAACCACACTACTCAGTAGAGAACAGAATTCCTTCTGTACTTTATATTATAGATAGAATATAAGTTCAAGGCTGAAGGTTTGGATCAAGAAATGAATGTTTAATTAGCATTTTCATTGCAAGATTTATATTGTACTTTCTTTTCATTTGACTGCCAAATTACGAGACTGTAGAGTTGATTTAGGTGCATGAAATATGACATGTCTAGAAGTAAATGTATGTTTAATAGAGTAGTACTAAAATAATTCTCTTGATCAATCTGACGTCTACTTGACTGTCTACATTCCTCTAATAGTTTTTATCTTATTATAGATTATGACATTTATCATCTTTCTTTTACACTTTTCCTTACTTCTTTACCTGTCTTATTTCTGTTCTACATCTATTTGATCTAATCGATGTACTTGCATGTATTAAAACCTTATGTTTATTGCACGACAAACTAGTTGCAGGCTAAAGAAACAACAAAAAAACATTGAAATTATCAAATAGAGCCTCAGACAGGACATCAGGAGGATATGAAACTAAAACACCAAATAATGGTGTGTGTTTTGGGTTGAGTTTTCACTTTTAGTTGATGCTTCAGAAAATATAGAATTGTATATCTCACAGCGATAATAAAAGAACCTAAACACCATATTCTTAGATGAGGTTTCAAACATGTTTTATATTATCATGGTATGGATACATTTTTAACACAAATCAAAACCATATTGGTATTTATATTTTCTGATATTGAAATGGTTCCTGGGAGAGTTTCTATGCTACCAGTATTTACTTACTATGAAATTGTATCGAGGGGTACATGTGGTGTATCTGTAGGTAATATGTAGTATCTCTTGACCACACATCACTATAGATTAGTAGAATTTCACTCAATTGTGGATGTTCAGTATTGAAATGTATTCTGATCTTTTTGGGGTTTTCCTTTAGAAAACTGAACCATGATATATTATGCAACCTCCATGAAGAAACAAAAGGGAATAATATATAACTATGTATGCAGACAATTTGTTACTAAGACTAAACCTTCTTCTAACTTCTCAACCTCAACATGTCTGCTGCTCCAAACATCCTTCATGTCACTGAAATAAGATTCAAGTTCAATGTTGTTCAAATAAAAACAAAATTTATTGACATTGTTCCCCAAGTTACATTCCTGTCCTTTAAAAGTGTCTGTTATCCCATGTTATCCAAGATGTATTTTGTAATTCTTCACTTATATCACTAATTCAACCTTACATCAGACCTTGAAAAATGTGTTCCTTTTCATTGAACACATTCAATTTGGTAAATTGGAGCTATCTTATACACAGGGTGTTTCAAAATCAGATTACAGAATGTGGTATGGTCCTACTCGCGGGATTATTATTTTGAAGTTGCTTGAATTCTTTGCATACGATTTCTGATGGTTTTTCTTGCCAGGAAGGATTTGATATCAATGATCCACTGCTCTGCTGTACACTTAGATGTGGTAGCATCAGGAACTGTTTTATAGGAACTTTGAATGGTTCATCAGTAATGTCTTAAATCAATTCATGGATAACTCTTCAAATAAAGTCTAGTTTAAAACCTACATTATTCTAACCATGTGTTATATCTAAACATGGGACACAATCAAGTAGAAAAAACAAAGAACATTCCAAACAAAGTTGAAAAAGTTAAAATTTCATTGTGTCACCCTTTGTTGATAAAGATTTGAATACAAAATTCAGGACTAAAAAATCTTGAATATTCTCACATTAATTTGACCAAGGGCGTGTTTCTCACTAGGGTGTCAAGCTATTTTGTTGACAGAGAATTGAAATTTGAATTTACATCATACATATTTTGTTGGTGCATAGCAGCTAAAGTGTGAAATTCCTAAACTTTTATATCCATGTACCACATTATTTGTTGAGCATGTACTTTTGAAGGTTGGTTATGTCAATAGCATTCTTTTATGTCTTGAATTGACTACTTTCAAAATACTTACAAAATGAATTATAAGAACTCTATATTTATTGATGTACCTTTGTCAAATCATAATTTTTACCTAACTAGAGCTACTCCTACATTAGATATAATTCTCACCACATCAATACAATAGTTAACATAATTTGACCTTGTGAATACCACAGCATAGGTCCATGAAGTTCTGTCAATATTAATAAAATATGGGCAATGCGGCCACAGTTAACATAATTTGACCTCATCAGTACCACAGTTAACATAATTCTTATCTTATCATACAACAGTTAACATAATTTGTTTCATCATTACCACAGTTAACATAATTAGTGTCATCATTACCACAGTTAACATAATTTGTGTCATCATTACCACAGTTAACATAATTTGACCTTATCAATACAATAGTTAATATAATTCATGTTATCTAGTCCAAAGTGAACTTTTGACTTCATCAATACCATAGTTAGCATAATTCTTATCTCAATCAACAGTTAACATAATTCCTATGTAATCACTACTACAGTTCACATAATTGATATCATTCTGTATTTTTTGTACAACCTCAGTTAATATATATGTAGTTCAATCAAAGATGTCATCATGCACAAATTATTGCTATTCATTATAAACATTTGATGTATTTATAAAGTATTTTCTGAACCAATGGGTTGGAAAATAGGCTGATTTTAAATGCTTTGAGAATACCAAATGGTGGTGTTTTTATTGTTGAAATAAATATAATTCTTGCATGGGCATTTAAAATTGAATTGAAGTTGATTAGAATAAATAATTATTTCAAAACCAGTTAGTCGTACAGGCTGCTGTACATCTGACATGAAATTTGTCTGTCCTTACTTCTGTTGAATGATTGTCTGAAGTTTTCTAATGAAAAAAAGAGTTTTCGTGCAGGGCTCAAATACAGATTTTAACCATTGTTCATCTCTTGTCACCAACTATTGGTTCATGCTTGTATTCTCCTTGAACCTGTAGGTGATGACCAAAGTGATTATAATCCAGCTAAAGAAATATATAATAGAATATTATTTAAAGATCATGAACTTCTGTTACCTCATGAACTATCAATCTTTTAATTCCATAACTAACACTACAACTAACACTACAACTAACACTACAACTAACACTATAACTAACACTATAACTAACAATAACAAACACTACAACTAACACTACAACTAACACTACAACTAACACTATAACTAACACTACAACTGACACTATAACTACTATTACTGCTTCGACAATGAGGCTGAAACGAACAGATAAATCATGGTCTTACATCTAATTAACACAATCCAAATAGATGGAGATTTTCTATACATTTCACACTTTGATGTAAGGTGGAGGAATTTTGAGCCCCTCATGAATTAACCTAGTAGTCTCTCTCTCATCAAATAATATCATTCTGTCAAGGTCATACTCAAATGATATTGGTATGTCATCTGTAAAGTGATTTTGTGTCATAAGTGCAAATATCTCAAAACATGGACAAGTGTCTGATTTAGAGTGTCTGGTCTGAACTTGTTTAACTGACGGTAATGATTTTGAAGTATCAGTTCTTAACGCATATTTTTTTTAATAGAAAAAAGGTTATGAATCAGTTAACATAACTGTATAAATATGTGTATTTAATGATTTATGTGGAATCTATCAGTTGATCAATTTGAATAAATAATTGATTCAGTAATTGAATTAACTTGATTGAAGTTATTTTTATTGAGGATTTTTCAACTGTATATGTAGTTGCAGACTTGGTGCCAAGACTTGAGCTTGAGTTGAGCTTTCTTATTTCTCAGATGATAGCTTGCTTTCTGCAATTAGACATTTTCATTTATCCACTTGACCAACAACAGACCAGCAGAGAGTAAAACACCATTTGATTTGATTCAATTGAGTTGTATAGTAGAATGTCCAGTCACACCTGTTGGTTTAGTTGTTTTGTCCGGTTGTATACCAGTAACACCTCTATAATCTACTATCTATTCAGACCCTAACTGATCATTTAGTTGGCTTGATTTATGATGTTCTGTCCACTGAATAGATACATTGATATATAACAATAGGATATGTATATAGAGAAGGTTGTAGGATTACATTGAATAGTAGAGATATATTCATTGAGTTTATATAGGTATTAGGGTAATTTCAAGGTGTATTGACAACCTATACCTAAAAGCTTTTTTCATGTAGCGTCTTATTTTGTTGATTCACAAACTGAACATCCAGCAGTACTACCTTGAGGGAACATTTCTGTGGTAAAATATTGACATATATAGGGTTTAGATTTCTTTAAAATGATAACATGAAAGAAACACGATCATTTGACTTGAAAAATATTAATTTTCCTCACAGCATAAAATAGGAAATTAATTCTCGGTTGTTATTGATGTCTTGTAAATCAAATGAAGTGAAATAGCAGACACGCCTGCTGAGGTAGAGAGATGAAAGGGGAGAGAACTGTTAGTATTTATTCTACCAGGTGGAAGGTATTAATACAAATATAAAGTTATATTAATATTTTTTAATTTATATTTAATACATCTGTTACTGGTTAATATTCATAAAACCATTATTATTCAATACATTCAATTCAGATTATACATTTGTCTTAAAATTGTCGTACGTGACAAAGCTCACACAAACTTTATTTTGAAAGATTGAATTCAGGGGCAATTACCAGCTGACAATTCAAGGATATGTACTTTAAAACTGTTGAGAATTTGGAATGGAACAAGATTACACACACAACTATTATCATTGCATGACTATTTTGTGCATTATCCCAATAAGAAACAGAAAAGTTGGATGTAAAATTTTACTTTATCTCGTTTTCCAGTCAATATTGACAATATCTATGGTATGTTAATTTGTCCTTTGATATAGCCGATACATTTTCCATCCATTGTTGAATTTTACTTTTATCTTGTTTTCTGATTTTACTTTTAACTTGTTTTCTGATTTTACTTTTAACTTGTTTTCTGATTTTACTTTTAACTTGTTTTCTGATTTTACTTTTAACTTGTTTTCTGATTTTACTTTTAACTTGTTTTCTGATATAAATTTAATCTTATATTCTATCATTAAAGAAAAATATTGGCAAATGTTTCTGAAATTTTTAACAATACTTTTTATATCTCTGGCCTTTTATATGAAATTTTAACAATACTTTAATACGTTGAAATATCAATCAGAAATATATTATTAATGTAGAAATATTAGAAATGATATTTTCTTATACTTTCATCAACCAGACTTAAATGGTAGAACAGTTATACAATTAGTACAAACTACTCTTCAATAAATCCAGCAATATTTGGATGAAAAGGGTTTATTTATTTGTATTTGATTGTTATTCATATGTATATGTATATTTATATTTATTTTTATATCTAGACAGGTAGCATGCAGGTGGTTTCTTCTTTCAAGTTTCTGATAAACAAATCTTTTAACCTTTTCTCAGTTTTCTATTGTAATAAAACTATTTGCCTCACTTAGATTGAATAGTTCAAAAAACAATAAAGGTATCCATCCATGTCTTTACCAAAATAAAGAGGAAAAATATAACTTGACACACAGATTATCAAATATTTATCATATACATAGAGGGGGAAATGTTGCAAATATCACAAACTTTAAGAATCTAATGCAAAACACAGCATCCAAAATGAAATAAAAAAAGAAGTATATTGACTTTTACACCAAAAGAAAAAGCAGCTGAAGAGATAATTTTGATATAAGTGTTGACTGAATATAGAGACAAAACAACCATGATCTGAACTTAAAGTAGTCAATCTGAGGTTAAGAATTATGCTTTTGAAAGCGTTGCTTGATGAATATACAATCAATGAGACAGTGGTTGCTTCAGATGCATACAGCATACAGTAGGTAATTCAAGAATTGAATAGGTGACGAATTGAAAAAAAGATCAAAGATATCCTTCAATATTACTTAATTTTTATTTGTAGAATACAATGTCAGATAGTATCAATTTATATTATCCTATTTCTCTCTTTCTTTATTCCTATTCACTCGTTAATCTTTTGAGAGTGGCGTCTGTTATTTTGTTAATGGCGAGGTGTTGCAGTCAAACAAAAGGGGTCTTGTCTAATATACTTCTATGTTACGTTTCAAGACAAAAGGCAAGGAGTCTGCGTGTGTTACTAACAATATGAATAAACTGAGTGTGCAGGTGAGAAGAAAAAAATACCTCTGTGTACCAAACTGTTGGCACTGTGTTGAAGAAAGGGAAACCTGAAATTTTTAACAGTAAAAAGTGAGGGATTTATTACATAAGTTTAAATAGTTTAATCTCATCATTAAACATTTCCTGTATAGAATGAAAGCAGGATCTGTCAGATATACAAATAAATAAAAATAAATAATACATATATTTGGATGTCATATTTCTTTTAACAGTTATATTTTTCTAAATATTGAAGCAATAGGTTTTAAGAGGGAGCAAGTAAACTGAGCCAGCCCTTATTTAAGATGTGAATGTAATCAGTCAGTGTAAAGAAAATTATTAAAGAAATAGTGTTTACTTTCACACAATAAGCATATTGTTTGCTATCTCCAGCTCTCTATTACAATGTTATTGTAATCTGACCGGATGTTTGTGGTAAAAAGAGATGAGGACTATTTGATGAGACGTGAGGAGTTACTCCAGTCCTGTCCTCAAATAGCCCCTTTTCTATTGGTGTTAAGTTGATAAGAGGCTATACAAGACAGGAAGTTGAAACAATCTGGCAAATTATTTTACAGTGAAAACTGGCAACTCAGATCCAGTTCAGAAATCACTATTTTGATTTATGCTCTTTGTCCAGTTAAGATAGAACTCTGTAAGCAACATCTACAAAAAGGGGACCACAAGTCAGATGAGCTTAGTTCTTGTCTGACCTACAGATGTACAAGATGTATTTCCATGAAAGCAGCTTACTCTTATCCAGCTTTTTAACAATCCCATTTCTATGGGCCTTGAATTTATAAGTTGATAAGATTCAATTTAAGACAGGAAGTTATAATAATCTGGCGAGTCAGGTTACAGTGAAATACTGGCGACACTGTTAATCTCTTGACTAAAATAATGTTATGTTATTTGTGAACTCTATGAATAAGAAAATTGAAAACAATCAATCCATATATTTAATGCACAACACAATTCAAAATCTCTCCCAAGGCCTCTTTGTTACTTGTCATGTATTGGCCATTACACAAAATTTTAAAAATCAGGGAGTTTATAAAACAACTATACACATCATGTCTATAAAAATCTGCATCACCCACCATTGATATAAATTAATGAGAATGGAATGATGATAACTAGATAGCTATGATTGTATCTATATTAAATGGTTATCATTATTGATATTATACTATCTCAGTAAATCATCATAATCATCAGTATCATAATATCACAGCTCCTCATTTGGTTATTGTATGTGTCAGGATAATGCATACAAATGCATACTGTTCTACAAACTTACAAAATATTTCTCTTTAGCATATTGCATGGTGGTGTGGTGCCAGTCTTCTGGATAAAAATATTACCCCATTTCTTATAAACATAACAACAACAATCTTACATGATAAACTAGAAGATCATTGATCTGAAATGATCATTAAGGTCTCCCTCAAAATTTAAGATCAAAGGACCTTTTGCTCAGACTTATGTGCCTTTGATAAACAAGATTATATAAAAGATAAAATCCAGATGCGTTTTTTGAAATGTAACGTACAAATAAACTCTTATTGATTGGTGCTCATCTTCTATCAATTTAAATACAGAAATTTCAAGGAAAGAGAAGGAACTATTGATTTGAAAACACACATAACCTATTCAGTCGATGTATATACTATTATTGATATAAGATAGGTACTAATGATAAGAGATGATATATGGACCTGTAATAAACCATACTAATAAAGTGTTACTATTTACTTAATATTTATTTCCCACATTTACCTTATAACCAATATCATAGTTCATCTGTCACTGTTACCAATATCTTAGTTCATCTACCTGTCACTATCACCAATATCACAGTTCGTCTGTCACTATCAACAATATAATAGTTCACCTACCTGTCACCATCAACAATATAACAGTTCATCTACCTGTCACTATCACCAATATCACAGTTCGTCTGTCACTATCAACAATATAATAGTTCATCTACCTGTCACCATCAACAATATCACAGTTCATCTACCTGTCACTATCACCAATATCACAGTTCGTCTGTCACTATCAACAATATAATAGTTCACCTACCTGTCACCATCAACAATATCACATCTACCTGTCACTATTACCAATATCATAGTTCATCTAAATGTCACCATCAACAATATAATAGTTCACCTACCTGTCACCATCAACAATATCATAGTTCACCTACCTGTCACCATCAACAATATCACAGTTCATCTACCTGTAACTATTACCAATATCACAGTTCATCTACCTGTCACTATCACCAATATCATAGTTTACCTACCTGTCACCATAAACAATATCACAGTTCATCTACCTGTAACAATTAACCAATATCACAGTTCATCTACCTGTCACTATTACCAATATCATAGTTCATCTAACTGTCACCATCAACAATATAATAGTTCACCTACCTGTCATCACAGTTCACCTACCTGTCACCATCAACTATATCATAGTTCATCTACCTGTCACCATCAACAATATCATAGTTCATCTACCTGTCACCATTAACAATATCATAGTTCATCTACCTGTGACCATCAACAATATCACAGTTCATCTACCTGTCACCATCGCCAATATCATAGTTCATCTACCTGTCATTATCACCAATATCATAGTTCACCTACATGTCGTCACTGTTACTAAAACCAGATGGTACTTGAACCGTGGTTATACAAATGAACAAGATAGTTTAAAAACAAAAAATAATGGGCATACAGATTAACAAGATTTGGTTTTAAAAAAAACGTATTTGAATTTAGGTTTAAAATGAACTTTGCCTTAGAGTTGCTGGAGGATGAAGATTAAATTTCATACAGTTGGCCTCCAAATAATAAAGTGTCCAAAAGTTTAACAATGCTTTTACCCATATCATTAAATCAACTTGTGGGAAAAGAACACACACCTTCACCATGTGCTCTTGTTGCTTGTGATATAATATGATATATCCGGTGCAATACTGACTTTATTGTCAAATGGAAGCAAATGGCATGCACATGTACATGTCATATAAAAAAATATCCAACCTTTGACCTATGTCAATATAGGAGTTGAGAAAATTTGGTGAAGAATACAGATAAAACATGATTTTAAATATTCTGTTATCACCATAACATCTGTGGAGTCCAAATTATATTCATGTAGGAAATATCATACTGAGAAAGCTGTATTGAAATTTAATGAGGATAAAAATAAAGTTTATGTAAAGTTGAAGTTTAAAGATAAATAAAAAGGTTGAAGCTGACAGCTGCAGAACAGTTTTAATCCTTCACAATATTTCTATCAATGACATTTTTTAAATAAAGATAATGATGTATTTTATTTTGAATTCACCTGCTATGATTAGCTGTATGGGGGAAGTCAGAAATATTATCCAATTGTTTCAATAGTAAAACCAGATGTATTAAATTTTCCCTGGTAATTTGAACTTTTAATAACAAAAAATGATTGTAGTTCATGATTAATTGTATTGGAGAAATTTATATTTGGTCTTTGGCAGATAGAACCAGATTTATTAAAACAATGGTTAATGGAGCCTCATACAGAGAAACATTTTTGTCATAGAAATCAAATTAACTTTATTCATCTTGTATAAGAGATATTTAAAAACTACTGATTATAGAGATAAAACTAACAAAAATCTGAAACAAAATGTATAATAAGCATAATTTCTGGATAGTCTTGCTTATATATATAGGATGTAAAAACGTAAAATCTTGCTGGAACTGGTATAAAATGATTAGAAAACCATTTCAGAAGGTTAGATATTATGTTTTCAAGGATCACCTGTTACTTGGCCACAACTCTTTACAGTGATCTTTCCTAGACTCTCTATACTCATTACAACTGGGTGGACTGGAATGGAGAGGAAGAACACCAACTCTGTGTCACTAACCCAATTCAGAACCAATCTGGCTAATGGCCATGATCTGTACATTGAAGTGAACAGGAAACTGAATACCTAACCTTTGTTGTAATATTTACCTTTATTTTGAGAAGGTCATACTCTTTCAATTATAAAGAATTTCAATAAACTGTGTTTTTATCTAACATTTCAAACAAGGCCAATAATAGACCACCCTGTAAACCTAGTGGCTTTCTGTGATTGTTTTCGGAATTAAAATCATTGATCCAGTTCTCAAAGGTGTAATAGATTGTGTGAATTGAGCTTTATAAAGTAGCCCTCACACCATAGCAATCACCAGTTGTGTATGGTTACGAATAAGAATAGGGATCATAAGTTTCAATCGCATTTCTCATGGTGAGTTGCATTCGGAAAGTGTGGCCACTTTAGTTATATGCCATATGCACATAGTAATTATTATGGTGTGATACAGATAGATGTAGCAGATAATTAGATGAATATGTCTTAAAGTGTTATTTTGTGTGTGTCAATTTAAACCTGTCATCTCCAACTATGTTAATTAGCTTGCTTTCATTTCTCAGTTAGGCGACTGCCTTCTGGTCAAAACATAATTATCTTATATCTTTATTATTTACATCACCACTGATTACATAATATTATCTAGCTGTGGGATAAGCTGATAAATAACGTTATCAATTCACCTGGTCAGCGTATCCAGAAGTCCAGTTTAGGTCAGTCAATAGGTCATACAGATTTTGGAAAATTTTCTTCCTGAAAATTTGATCATTTTAACATACATAAGTTTTTAAGTGAAAATATTTGACTTTTGCGGGAGCAAAACACTCATCCAACATCAAAATTGACATAGGGAAGACTGATGCAGATAGCTTCAGTTGTTGAATTGATATTACATTCAATCAAATAAAAGAGCATCCAGTTTAATATAAAATAGACCACTGATGTATATTGAATTAGATTAGTTTATAGCAATAAGACTGAAGGCAAGTTTGAAATTGTTTAAATTAATTGTTTTAGGTGTAAAAAGACTCTTTACATTTTACTAATGAGATTTACACTACTTTCAAATTATCACTTTATTTATCATGAAGTTGATTTGATTTATCATTAATACACTTGATTATTTCTTGATATTTATCACAGTTTTAGTCTATTGTAGACCAAGTCATTGTAAACATTGTCCACAAAAAGATCTTTACACCTTATACAATGCTATTAAATAATACTAAACTAAGGTTAAGCTGATAATCTGATATAGTCTGAGTTCAATAGACATAAAACGGCTGATCTAGCGAAATGAACAGTGATTTGAATAGTGTGGTCAGATTTAAAGAGATTTTCTAAAAGGAGGTGTTAGGAAATGACCCCTATAAAGCGAAGTGAAACTAATTAGGGACAAATAAATTGAAATGTGAATTTAAAATACTTTTGTTTACCAATATGCAATGTTTTAGGGTACTTTAGGCGAAAGCCTGTTCCCTAATCCTATTATGCAAATAAGTATTGTTTATACAAAAAAAAATATGCAATGTGTCTTCGGGTATATTTTACAGAAACAACCAATCACATGTATAATTTTTCGATTTACACTAACGCTGAAGTGAGATGCAGATGAAAAATTGAAGGTGCTATTCGACCTTTTCCTGAATTAAACATCACAATTGACCTGAAATGGGTTCATCTAAATTGAATATTGAAAATGGCAAAAACAAAATTACCACCATGAGATTTATGTTGCTTGTTGTATCTGTATGACTAACTAAACTGATCAAATTATGGAGAGATTTTACATGAATGAATGAACACAATGTATCTTTAAACTCACAAAACATTATTATTATACAGCAGTCTAAGTATATTTACTGGTAAATGATGTGCTCATGGGTTTAACTGCTCTTGTATTAATGTTTATAACATGAATATATCTCCCTACTGTTCCAAATCAGCTCTTCAAATATTAGTTGTTAATCCCATAATGATTTACTGTTCACCTATTGGTGGCTAGGATATAATCTTATTATTAATCGTATAGTCTCATAAATTAACAATAGTGATAAGGTGTTTATGGTGTTACTCTCTCTCAACTTCTACTGATTTTATCACCCAGTGACTGGTCAGTGGTCAGATAACTTGTTGTGTCATGTCCAGAGTACAGCAGTTGACTTCTGGATACCTTCATATTAATTTGATCATTTATAATGAAATGATGTATATTGTGATATACTGTGTTGGATTATAAGAAGTGTTTATAAAGTGTAGCTACTTCAAAAAGTTTTTTGGATATATTTTCATATATGGTAACTATTTTTATTTGTAAATGAACTTAAAATTGAAATTACTTGAATAAATTTGGTAGTATTAATGTCTGAGCAAATGTTCAGTTTGGTTTCATCACAGACCTGTGAAATACCATTGATAGATAAACTGAAACAAAATAGTGTCACTTACCATTCTGAATTGTTGTTTTGGTGATTTGATTGGGTTCGTAGATTGAGTTTAGATTGATTGAGTTCGAGATTACTTGATTGATTTTTATATGGTTTGATTAACATTGGTGTTGAGCAGTGAATATTATTACCAGACAATCTGATTAGAGACTATCACTGTCAATTCTTTACTTCTTGAAGACTTGATAAATTCATTAGGTTTTTTTTACATGATTTTCTAAAAGCTTTGGTTTCAGTTTCACGTCTGAGACTTTAATCTTATTATAAGATCTAATGTCAAAGCTATTCACAGCCCTTAGTTTGTTGAAGTAAATGTAAAAGTTTTTTATAGACTTTTCTTTTGAAATGGCCTTTTCTTTGGTGTCTGCATTAGTCAAGTAATAAGCCGGCTCAGAATGCTTAAGAAGTGAAAGAAACCTTAAAGAAAAAAAAGCAATAGATTATTGTTGAGTTCTATTTTACTAAGAATGAGTATTGACTAGTTGAAAATACTATCATTCTGAAATGCATCAGAAAGTCACCATGAACTGGCAACAGTTTCACTCAAATTACATATAATAATGACTCTGTGAATTTTTTTACTTGTATTTTATTGAAACTTTAAGATGTGTTTAAGGTTGAAGTTGAGTTGAAATGTGTTGAGAATATATATGAGTTGTGTTTATACTGAAGTTTGTCAAGTTATACTGGATATAGAAAGTTAAACTAGGAGAATATTTAGATATTGTAATGTAAATATTATATAATCTTTGTAACAGTTATAACTAGTGCAAGGCCAACAGCTTAAATTTCAAAAGATGTTGTCACATTTCCAAGGTTCACAGAGTCTAAGTCGTAGAACATGTCAATTTCAAATTTTTTCTTTTCTTATTCAGTCCAGTAAATCAAGAGCTATTTTCATCTTATATTGTAAAAACTTTACACTACAGTATAATATCTAATTATCTTAACCTTTAACTTGCACCTTGTTTTATCATAAATCTTTATTTTG